TTATTTTTTGCCATTTTTGTTTACTGTGGTTCTACTTTTCTTCCTATTTCTTCTACTAATATTACAGCAGTTCTTTTAACATTTCTTACAATGCTGGTTTGGTGCTAATGTATTCCCTTAGCCTTTTTTTGTCTGGCAAGCTCTTTATTTGACCTTCTATTTTGAATGATTGCCTTGCTGGATAAAGTAGTCTTGGATCCAGATCCTTGTTTTTCATGACCTTGATTACCGCATGGCATTCCCTTCTGGCCTGTAGTGTTTCTTATGAGAAGTCAGCTGAGAGCCTTATTGGGGTTCCTTTTTAGGTAACCTGTTGCTTATCTCTTGCTGCTTTTAGGATTCTCTCTTTGTCTTTAATTTTTGGCATTTTAATTACTATGTGTCTTGGAGCGGGCCTCTTTGGGTTCTTCTTACTTGGGGCTCTCTGTGCTTCTTGAACTTGAATGCCTTCTTCCTCCACCAAATTAGGGAAGTTTTCTGTCACCGTTTCTTCAAATATATTCTCTAACCCTTGCTCCTTTTATTCTTCTTCGGGGACTCCTATGATGCGAATATTATTGCGTTTCCAGTTGTCCCACCATTCTCTTAAGCTGTCTTCCTGGTTTTTAATTGTTTTTTTCCTTTTGGTTTTTTGATTGGTTCATTTTTTTCTACCCAGTTTTCTAACTCACTGATCCAGTCTTCAGCTTCCTCTACTCAGCTGTTTAGACCTTCCAATGTATTCTTTATTTCTTATATGTCATTCCTCGTTTCTTCTTGGTGGTTTTTAATTTCCAGTTGGTTTATTTTCAACATTTCTATGTCTTTACTCATGGTGCTGATGTCCTTACTCATGCTGTTGAGCTTCCTGAAGATTCATGGCTCTGAATTCTAGTTCTGTTAACTTGCTTAACTGCTCCTCGTTTATCTCATCTTTGGTAGAGTTCTCTTGTTCTTTCATTTGGCATTGATTTGTTTGTTTCACCATTTTGGTTATCACAGTGGTCTGTGGAGCCTGTCAAATTTTCCCTGTGGGTGTTGAAATTCTGCTATTTGTGGCTCCCTCTCCTGGGTTTGGATCAACATGGGAGGACCCACGTTAAACACCACTGTCAAGTCTTACTTTCCTGGGCAGAGTTGCAAGCCCAGGAAAGTTCAGTTATCCTCTAGGTTTTTACCTGGGGGGCTATAATTAGAGGTTACTTGAAGAGCCTTGGGTTCTCAGTTGAATGAAAAACTCCCTCAGGTGCTCAGAGTAGGGGGATTTCCCGAGGGTAGGGTAGATGCTGGTTGTTAATGAACCTCAATTTGCATTTCAGTGGTTCACAAGGTAGGGTTGAATCTTCAAGGCAGGTGCCCCTGCCTCTCCCCAGACCCCTGGGAAGTAGTAAGATGGCCACAATCCTGTGTGGCCACAACTCACCAAAAGCTCTGGATGCCCTCCCAATCCCCAGTGTCCCCACACAGTTCCATTCCAGTCTGCCGGAGGTCAAGGTGAGTGGCTGTGGCTATTTTAGCGTCTGTCCCTGCTCTGTGCTATGGAACCACTTGGGAGTTCAACCCCAAGGGCGCTGCTTACAGCTAAGACCGCTGCCGTCCATGGGCTCCCAGCCCCCCTCTCACGCCTCCGCAATCCTACCAAGATAGAGTCAGTGTCGCTGGTTATATGGTACTCGCAAGCTGCTTTTCTGTTGCTTTTTCCTGACAATTTGTCTTTATTTTAGTTGTAATTCCAGTTTGGTCCTGGGAAATGGTCTGTGTAGCTTCCATTCACTCTGCTGCGATTTTGGAATCTCCGTTTTACTCTTATCTAATTGCTCTCACTAGGAATTCTAGTGCTATGCTGTGTAGAAGTCAGAAGAGTGGGCGTCCTTGCCTTGTTTCTAATCTTAGAGGAACAGCTTTAAGTTTTTCATTGTTGAATAAGAGGTTTGCTGTGAGCTTTTCATATATGGCCTTTATTTTGTTAAGGTAAATTCCTTCTATTCCTAATTTATTGAGTATTTTTATCATGAAAGGGTGTTGGATTTTGTCAATGCTTTTTCTGCATCAAACGGTATGATTATGTGATTTTAACTCTTCATTCTGTTAATGCGCTGTGTCACAATTACTGATTTTCATATGTTGAAGCACCTTTATGTCCCAGAGATAAATACCACTTGGTCATGATGTAAAACCCTTTTAATGTGCTTTTGAATTCAGCTTACTGGTTTTGTGTTGATAATTTTTGCATCTGTATTCGTCAAGGATATTGTCCTGTAGTTTTATTTTGTTGTGATATCTTTTTCTGCTTTTGGTATCAGGGTAATGCTGACCTCATAAAATCAATTTGGAAGTGATCTCTCATCTTCAATACTTTGGTAGAGTTTGAGAAGTTCTTAAATTGTTTGATAATGTTCACCCATGAAGCTATCCGGTTCTGGTAGTTTCTTTGTTGGGAGGTTTTTGATTACTGATTTAATCTCATTACTAGTTATAATCTCTTTAGATTTTCTATTTCTACATAATTTAGTTTTAGGATACTTTGTATGTTTCTAGGAACTTATTACTATCTTCCAGGTTAACCAATTTGTTTGCACAGAATTGTTCATTATAGTCTTTTATAATCTTTTTTATTTCTATGGCATTAGTTGTGATCTGTCCTCTTTCATTTCTGATTTATTTGAGTCTTCTTGTTTTTAATCTTAGTCCAGTTAAAGGTAGTCTATTTTGTTGATCTTTTAAAAACCAGCCCTTAATTTAGTTAATTTTTAAAAATTATTTTTGTAATCTCTGTTTTATTTATGCTCTAACCTTTATTATTTTTTCCTTCAGTTAACTTTGGGCTTAGTTCTTTTTCTGGGTTCTAGAGGTATAAAGTGAAGTTATTTATTTGAGGTTTTTCTTCTTTTTAATATAGGCGTTTATCACTGTAAACCTCCCTCTTGGTACTATTCTTGCTGCATCCAATAAATTTCATGTTGTGGTTTCATTTTCTTGTCTCAAGATATTTTCTAATTTCACTTTTAATTTCTTCTTTGACCCATTAGTTGATCAAGAGTAATTTTTTTAGCCCTGGCCCATTTTGCTCAGCGGTTAGAGCATCAGCCTGCGGTCCAGAGAGACCCGGGTTCGGTTCCTGCTAAGGGCATGTATCTTGGTTGCAGTTTGTCCCTGGCCCTGGTTGGGTCATGCGGGAGGCAGCCACTCGATGTGTTTCTTTTACATCGATGTTTCTCCCTCTCTCCCTCCCACTCTATCTGAACAAAAAATGAAAAAATGTCCTTGGGTGAGGATTAAAAAAAAAGAAAGAAAAGAGTAATTTGTTTAATTTGCACATATTTTTGAATTTTCTAGTTTTCCTTCAGCTATTGGAAGCAAGATATTGAATTCTAATATTATTGTGTTGCTATTTTCTCTTTTTAGTTCTCTCAGTGTTTGCTTGGGTGCATGTACATTTATAGTTGTTATATCTTCCTGGTGAATTGACTCTGTTATCATTATATATTGTCCTTTTATGTCTCTTGTGACAGTTTTGACTTTAAGTCTATTTTGTCTGACACCCCTGCGCTCTTTTGGTTACCATTTGTGTGGAATACTTTTTTCTATCGTTCTATTTTCAGCCTATGTGTGGCCTTGAATCTAAAGTGAGTTTCTTGTAGACAGCATACATTGGATCTTGTTTTTTACTCATTTGGGCACTTTATGTCTTTGATAAGGGAGTTTAATCCATTTACATGTAAAGTAATTATTAATAGGGAAGGACTTACTATCACCATTTATTAGTTGTTTTCTGTCTTGTAGCACTTTTGTCCCTCTTTTTCTTGATGTCTACCTTTGTGTTTCATTGATTTTTTTTGGTATTGATGTGCTTTTTCCTATCTCATTTTCTTTTGTGCATCTTTATTTACAATTGGGCTTACTTAAAGTTATAACAAGTTTCATAGAGTTATAGTAATCTATTTTAAGCCAATAAAAGCTTAAGTTCAATCACATTAAAGAGCTCTTTTTTTTTCTTGAATGTTCTTTTTAAAAAAAATAGCATTCTATTCCTAGTAGATAGAATATTGTCTCTTATTTCTCTGAGGATATTCATAATGGTTTTGGATTTTTTTTTCTTTGCATGGTCTCTGTTTCTCCTATTTGCTTTCACTTCTGTTTGTTCTGTTCCCTGTCTTTCACATTAGAGGTTTTCCTCAGATGCCTGATAATTCATGTTCATATGTATTAGTAAAGCCAAAAACAGATTGGAAACTTTCAGTACATGAGTGGTCCTTATTGACTTGAGCTTCACTTTGAAGTCATCTGGCTGGTCCATTTGTTGGAGAAATTCTCCATCCTAAATTTGTATTTTTAGATCTTTCCTTTGGAAGCTAATCAGATTCTTCAGAGAAGACATTTACAAATTATTGCCTGGGAGGGTACTACCAGCACTGTAGGAGCCAAATGGGGGGAACTGTCTGGAATATCCTCAGCATTCAGTATAACATATTTATCTTAATTGTCTTGCTTTCAGAAACAGTATTTACACCTTCAGCTGTGTCTGGTATTCCCAATATTCAGAGAATGAACTTCCAGTGGCTTTTGCTTAGTAGTATATTGTAAAGGATGCTCTTTTAAAGTCTAGTTGGTTTTTAAACAGCTTTCAACTTTATCTTAATCCCATCCCTTTACATCCATTTCAGAGATACCTGAAGCTATCAATCCCTGAACTGTATTAGAATTCTTAGGTGTAGATTGGGTTGGTTTCTGGCTTTCTCCACTGCTGAAAGAAGATTCAGCTTTCTTGAGTATACTCGTCCAATATTTCCCTGCTTCTAGATTATTGTTGCTATTGCCTCTTTTCCTTGTTCTTCCTGACCTTGTAGATTTATTATTATTTTTTTAATTCTATAGTTTTTGAGATTTTTCTGGAGGGACTGAAATTAGATACATGTATTCAGTCCACCATCTTTATCTGAAACTAATGAATTCTGACCACAATGAAATAGGTGCTGTACTTCCCTCATGTGATATTTCTTTTGATCTTTGGTTTATATTAGGTGTTATACCTGAAGAACCTTAGCCCTCGGGTGACGGAAAGAGATCTTGTCTCACTGTTTGCTCGGTTCCAGGAGAAAAAAGGACCTCCAATTCAATTCCGAATGATGACTGGACGAATGAGGGGGCAAGCTTTTATCACCTTTCCCAGTAAGTAGCTTTATCTGGATAATTACTCAGTTGTAGCATCAGCATTAATGACTACATACACCTTCTCTAATTTAGATACAGTCCTTTGATTTCTCTATAACACATGTGAGCCATGTGCTTAATCAAGCACATGGGAAGAAGGGAAGTAAGCAACATGTTTTCAGTGTTTCTCTATCCTGCCTTCTATTCTCTCTCTCTTCCGTTGACTGTGCATGACCACCTTACTCCATTGTCTTCAGTTTGGCACTTTCTTCTCACTTTATTAAAATTAACTTTACCTTTAAAAAATTTACTTTGCCCTCGTTCACAATAGTATTTGTAGTCCAAGCTATAATCATACTACTTATTGATATATTGATCAGAACACTTGCGCTTACTTAATGCCCTGTTCCTTTAGAACTAAGAGACTGCAATCTTGGATGCTAATTCACTCATAATTCATAATTAATGAATGATGACATAGTCTTATAACTATTGTTTGCATCTTAATATATGATTACAGTATCCTAATCCAAAGGGAGCAATAATACAGGAATTTTAGTTTTTGACAGGCCAAACTATCTTTTTTGTTTTTGTTTTTGTTTTTGTTTTGGTGAAGGCTGGTTAGGAACCATACCTTTCATTTTTCCTAAACTATCATCACTTATAATTAGTAATCTATGTATAGGCAAGTGGTTAAGACTTGAGTAGTTTCGAACTCCACTAGTCCTGTACCATCTTTGCTATCTTATTGAAGGTTTTTGGATGACCTACATTAGTGGTTTTTAGTCTTTTTAAGTGTGAGGACCATTTTTAAACTTCAAAAATGTTTCATAGACCCCCCCCCACCACCTAATATGATGCATTGAGAAAAATATATAATAAAAAAGCTTTATAAGCTAAGTACTTTCAAATGGATAGCTGTTTTACTAATCATAATAGCAGCTATCCACATTTGAAAATTTGTAGTATATGCATAAATTGTGACATAAATTGTTTCAGTCTAAAGATATCACTTGTCTACTTTTGATTTCACGGACTCCAGTCAATAATTCCACCCCTTCCTGATTTCCCACATCCAGGGTCTGAGATGCATAAGTTGAATACTCCTACTGTATACTATGTACTTTCTCAAGTTTCCATATGCTTATAAGGATTAATTATTACACTTATTTATCTCAATGGGGGCTCCCACAATCATGCTCCCATCAAAAGATATAAAAGTAGTAAAATGACCTTTATACCATGATAACCTCTTTTACTTGTGTTGCCAATTTTGAAAATTATTTTCTTCTCATAATACCTGTAATCTGTTATCTAAGATAGAGACTTATGTATTAGTCATTACAGCTTAGCCTTCTTTAGCACACTGTCTATATTCTTGTTTCTTTACTTATATCTTTAAATTACGAGGCACTCTCAAACACCCATTTTAAGTTTTTCTAGTCATTATTCTTAGCCATTAGTTTAATCTTGCTGAGTTATACAAATTCGAGATTATGGAAAAGATAAAATCAAATAGCTATGTTGCCTTATAGCCAACATTTAACTCTAAGGCGAAAAAGAAAAACATAATCTAAACTGGGAATAGAATTGAATTATGAAATCCTGTATAAACTGAAATTTTTCCTTTCTTTTAGATAAGGAGATAGCATGGCAAGCATTTCATCTAATAAATGGATATAAACTACATGGGAAAATGTTGGTAATAGAATTTGGAAAGAACAAAAAGCAACAGTCTGATGTCCAGGCTGCTTCTCTCAGATCACCTGCTATCGAAAGCACTACAGAAACAAGTGGCAGCTAGAAGGTATATAGATTGTGAGTCTCAGAAGGTTTTTCTTGCATGAGAATCTTGGATTTAGGATTTCTGTATGGATAGCAATGTGTTTGGAATTGAAGAGAAACTGAGGAAGAAAAAAATCTAATTAAGATAATCCTTTAGCTTTTGGAAAGAATTGGTAGAAAACATTTTCTATAATCAAAGACTATATAGGACAAACAAGATGCTGAGTGTGAAAGATAGGGAACAAAGAGTATCATTTTTCTCAGGATAAACTACAAAGGATTATTTCCAAGAATTTTAAAAATATTTATAGTTTATCTGTGATCTTAAATACATATCTCTAGAAATAACATTCTTTCTAAGACTGCCACCTAGATACAGAACTAAAAAACTAAATGTTGGAATATTTATTAGAGCCCATTTGTCCCTAATTGTATTCACATAGTAAATAAATGACCAGGAGCTAGGCCTAAACGTCAACATATGCTGTTAAAAGAGAACTATCAGCAGTAACAGTAGGCAGTTTCATAAGTCAATACACATATTCAGTTAATGCTTTCCATTAAGTTATCAGTGTCTTCAAAAAGCCATATATTTTTCTAATGAAAACATCTAGATCTAAAGAGTTATGTTCTCCTGGTCATTTAACTAGCTACCATTGCATAATCATTGAATTCAAAGCAATAAACATTGAATAAGCATCTAATATACGTTAGGTATTAGGTATATGCATTTTAGAAGAGGAACATCATACTACCAAAAAATACTAAAGAAGAGATGGGAAGAAAAAGTTCTCTAGAAAGGCAGCCACTCCCACATTCCCTAGTTGTTTGTTTATAGTTGCTGGAGAATAGAAAGACAATGTGGTGTAAAGGAAATAGTACAAACTGGGCTCAGACCTATATTTGAACTTCACAGCCATGCTTACCACTCCATGACCTTGGCAAGTCATTTAGTCTGAGCCTCAGTTTTCTCGTCTATAAAATTATAATAATACTACTTACCTCACTGGGTTATTAGAAGTAAATGAGATGATATTATACAGGTTGAAGAACAGAAAGGGAAAAAAAGAATGAAAATATTGAACAGTGTATAGGACTATTAAGTATTCAAACATACTTATCATGGAAATACCAGAAAAAAAAAAAAGAGAGAAGAGAAAGAAAAAAAATTCTAATAAATAATGGCTGTAAACATCCCAAGTTTAATGAGAATTATCTTCACATCCAAGAACCTCAGTGAACCCCAAGTAGGGTAAACAAGAAGAAATCCACAGATATATTATAATAAAAGTGGTAAAAAAACAAAGACAGAAATCTTGGAAGCAACATGAGAAAAATGAAGCATCACTTTTGATGGAAAACCAATCACATTAACAGCTGACTTCTCATCAGAAACAATGGAGGTAGCAGTGGGATAATGTTAAGTGCTCAAAGGAAAATAACTGTCAATATAGAATCCTGTATCTAATAAAACTATTTTTCAAAAGTGAAGATGAAACAAAGACATTCCCATGTAATCAAAAACTGAGAGAATTTATTGCTGGCACATCTGAGTTATAGGAAATATTAAAGGAAGTTCTTTATGTGGAAAGCAAGTGACCTCAGATAATATTTGAATCTACACATACAAAAAATACCATGGGTACATTTAATTATGTAATTATAAAAGACTGTTTAAGTGCATTTTCCTTCTTTTAATTGATTTAAAAATAAATTTTATAAAACAGTATGTATGTAGTTTTATCTGGGGGCCTATAACATATATAATATGTAATATATTTGCCAATAACAGGACAAAGGAGGTGGGCGGAAGCAAAACTGTATTGGACTAAAGAAGTGACTCCAAATAGTAACTCAAATCTACTGGAACAAATGAAGAAAATGGGAAATAAGGTTAATATAAAAAAGCTATAAATATATACTTGCTCTGCTTTCTTCTCTCAGCTTCTTTAAAAGATATAAAATTATGTTAAGTAATAATTATAACAATGTAATGTTGGGCTTCTAGCATGTAGAAATTATATATAGATAATGTCATAAAGAAGTAGGGAAAGGAATAGGTTTATATAAGAATAAGGTCTTATATCTCATTGGAATTAGGATATATCTGAAAACAATTTAGTTAAGATATGCATGGTAAGCCTTAGAGCAACCACTAAGGAAATAATTGAAAATACATAGTGAAAATATTATTAAAGAAATGTAAATTTTGCACTATAAAATTTTCAGTGTAAAGCAATGCAAGAGGAGAAATGGAGAAACAGACAAAAAAAAAAAAAACTTGAGACATGGTAAACAAACAGTAAAATTGCAGTCCTAAATACATCTATATGAATAATAATAACTGTGACTAAACAATGAAATCAGAAGGCAGAGATTGTCAGCCTGGGGGGGTGGGGACAAGTTTACCTCTTGGCTATTTATCAGAGACATATAGAGTTAGAAACAGAATAAAGGTAAAAGGATAGAAATAAATATCAGGCAAATGGCAACTATAAGAAAGCTGAAGTGACCATACTAGTATCAGATAAAATAGGCTTTAAAACAATGACTGTCACTAGAGATAATGAGTGACATAATGATAAAACAATCAATATATCAGAATTGATATAAAAATTATAAATATATAAGCACCTAACAACAGAACACCAAAATACATGAATCAAAAGTGGAAATAAATAAAGGGAGAAATACACAAGCCTACAATAAGAGTTCGGGAATTTGGTACCCCATTTTCAATAACAGAAAAACCAGACAGGAGATAAACAGAAAATTAGACTTAAAACATGCTATAAATCATGTAGATCTTGAAGAGAGCTATAGAACACTTTTACCCAACAAGAGCTGAATACACATTCTTCGCTAGTGCACATGAATCATGTTCAGGATAGAGCACAAAATAAACCTCAACTTTAAGCAGACTGAAATCATGCAAAGTATGTTCTCTGACCGCATAGAATGAAACTAGAAATCAATAACAGAAAGTTGGAAAACTCACAGATATGAATTAAACATACTTTTAAATGACCAGTGGGTTAAAGAAGAAATCACAAGGGAAGTTAGGAAATCTTTTGAGGTGAATGTAAATGAAGATACAACATACCAAGACTTATGGGATATCCCACACTTAAGCAATACTGAAAGCATTATAAATATAAATGCCTATATTTTTCAAAGATCACATATCACTAACTTCACTTTATACCTTAAGACACTGGAAAAATAGGAGCAAACTAAACCTAGAGCAAGCAGAAGAAAGAAAAAAATGTTAAATGATGTGGAGAATAGAAAAACAGTTAAAGTCAATGAAAGCAAAATTGGTTTTATAAAAAGGTCAACAAAAGTGACAAACTTTTTGGTAGATTGACCAGAAAAAAATTAAAACCCAAATGACTAGAATCAGAAATTAAGGAGGAACATTACTACCAACCTTGTAGAAATAAAAAGGATTATGAAGCAATACTATGAATAATTGTATGCTAGTAGATATAATAAACTACTGAAACCAATTAATAAAATATGAAAAGACCTGTAACAAGTAAAGAGGTGAATTAGTAATTTTTTTTAAATACCCACAAAGAAAAGGCCAGGTTCAAATGGCTTCTCAGATGAATTCTAGTAAACATTAAAGAAGAATTAATATAGATTCTTCACAAATTTCCAAAAAGTAAGAGGACGTAACACTTATATATACTACAATGTGGGAAAACCCTGAAAACATGCTAAATGAATTAACAGTAACAAAAGACTATATATTATATGACTCCATATATATGATGTGTCTATAATTGGTAAATACAAACAGAAAGTGGATTAGTGATTGCATAGGGCTGGGGATGATAGCTGAAGTGTATGAGATTTCTTCAGAGGCTGACTAAACTGTTCTAAAATTGATTGTGGTAATGATTGTACAATACTGAATATACTACAAACCATGATTGTAAAGTTTAAATGGACAAAATTTATGGTATGTAAATTATATGTCAAAGTTACAAAAAAAAACACAATTGAATACAACTCAAATGTCCAGTAGTAGGAGAATGGATGAGTAAATCATTGAATATCCATTTAGTGGAATACTATACAGCCATTAAAATAATGGAGTATATCTATGAATACATTCTGAACTGTATATGGTGTCCAGGATTTTATATTCAGTTAAAAAGCAAGACATATGTACAGGTGATTCTTAAACAACATGGGTTTGAACTATGCAGTTTCATTTGTACATGGATTTTTTTTTTCAATAAATACCTGTAGTTTCGATCTGTGATTGGGAGTCCGTGGAAGCAGAAGGCTGACTATGCATTGATCTATACCATTTTACATACGAACTTTAGCATCAACGGATTTTATTTTTTATTTTTTTATTTTGAGTATCCACGGATTTTTGAATTTGTTGGGGGTTCTGGAACCAATTCCTGACAGATACCAGGGACAACTAGGTTTCTGAGGAGTCAAAAGTTAAATAAATGTGGATTTCTGACTGCGTGGGATATCGGTGCCCCTAACTCCCACGTTGTTCAAAGTCAATTGTATAATATGAATACATTTTTTAAAACAGAAGCATTTGTGTATATATATATATAATATATGTATATATAGATATTTCTAAATAAATTTAGGAAAAAGCTGGGAAATATACATACAAAATTGTAAACCTTTTAGAGGTGGGATTGGATGGGTTGAAGGGGGACTTTTGCTTGATGAATTTTTTTTTTAGATTTTTTAATCATTTAATTAATTTATTTTTGTTACAGATGTATTTTCTTTTCCCCCCACTGACACCCTCCTCCCATTCCTGCCCCGCCCCAGCATTGTTGTCTATGTCCATTGATTATGCTTATATGCATAAGTTCTTTGGCTTCATGAAATTTTTAAAGTGGCATAGTTTAAGGTGATTTTTAAAATTATTTTCAGCAATTTTTTAGTTTAAAAAGTTTAGTGTTTTTTGTTTTGTTTTGTTTTTTTACATACTCTGCCAATGATGGCTTCCAGAATATTTGTCAGACCTGCTCTAAGGATATCATCTAACTATACTCAGGACAAACTTCTATTCCTTTGATATACTGCTCACTTAGGATTAAATCTCCAATTTTAAATATAGTTTAAGGGACAAGAAGTAAGTTATCCTGTTATAACCTCTTGCACATGTTACACAGGGGCATACTTCTAACCTGGACTTTTCAGAAGGAATTCTTCCTTTGGGTGAAAAACCTCACCTATGCCCTTTACTAGACCTATGACCACTAATAGTAGAAGAAAATAAAAACGGAGGATAACCCTCAACTGGTGCATAGATAAACTGGTATATCCATACAATGGAATCCTACTCAGCAATAAAAACTATGATGAACAATGGTACATGCAACCACTTGGATGAATCTCAAATGGATTTTGCTAAGTAAAAGAAGCAAAACTCAAAACACTACTTACTGTTCAATTCCATTTATATGATATGCTGGAAAAGAAAACTATAAGAACAAATCAATGAATGTCAGGGCTTAAAAATGGGAGACTAATTACAAGATGGTAGCACAAGGAATTTGTTTTAATAGTGGAATTTTCTGTATCTTGATTATGGTTATGTGAATGTATGTATGCATTTGTCAAAACTTACACAACTGTACACAAAAAAGGGTGAATTTTACTGTATGTAAATTTTAAAATAAATGTAATTTTTAATGGAGGAAATAAAAAGTTTCTCAAAGTCATTTCTATAATGTAGTGTTCCTATTCTGTGTTCTTTGATTACTGCTGAAGACTTGAAGCCACTTGGCTATTTTTCCTTATTTTCTGCCCCCAGATCAGCAGAAATCATCAGTTAAAATTATCATACACACACACACACACACACTCTCTCACACACACACACACTCACACACACAAACCTATCACTAAAAAATTAACAGAAAGGAAAATAATTTGCTACATACAAGATCATTTTCTAACATAAAATGTATACAATTTTCTTAATATACCAAAGTCAATAATACAATAAAAATGTAGGTAAATGAAAAGAACATTTATAGAAACTGAAATATAAATGACTCATAAACTAAGCAAATTATAAACATTAGGACAACGAGCTCTCTTTTAAATAGTAAAAGAGTTTCCATATATCTTTCACCGAACCTCCCCTAATATTAACATCTCACATAACTGTAGTACAATTATCAAAGCCAGGAAAATAATATTGATGCAGTAGTGTTAACTACAGACCTAAGTTAATTTTTCCATTTGTCCCACTAATGTCTTTTTATAATCCAAATCCTGGATCCTTTTATTGTTTTAATTTGTATTTTAATTACAGTTTACATTCCATATTATTTTGTATTAGTTTCAGGTGTACAGTATAGTGGTTAGATCGTTTATGATCAAATCCAGGATTCCACATTGCATTTTGTCATCATGTATCTTTATGCCATTCCTATTTGTGACCATTCTCAGTCTTAGTCTTTGATGACCTTGACAGTTTTGAAGAGTACTGGTCTATTACTTTGTAGAATGTTCAAAATTGAGGTTTGTCTGTTTTTTTCTATAATTAGATTGAAATTATACATTTTTGTAAGAATACCACAGAAGGCCCTGGCTGGTTTGGCTCAGCGGTTAGAGCATCGGCCTGCTGTCCAGAGACCCGGGTTCGGTTCCCGCTAAGGGCACGTACCTCAGTTGCAATGTTGCAATTTGTCCCTGGCCCTGGTTGGTTGTGCGGGTGGCAACCACTCGATGTGCCCCTTTCACGTCGATGTTTCTCTCTCTGTCTCTCTCTCTCTCCCTCCCACTCTATCTGAACAAAAAATGGAAAAATGTCCTCAGGTGAGGATAAACAAAAAAAAAAAAAAGAATACCACAGAAGTGATGTGCCCTTTTTAGTGCATTATATCAGGAGTTACTTGCTGATATGTCTTAATACTGTTGGTGTTAACCTTGGTTATCACTTGGTTAAGGTTGTGTCTGCTATATCTCTTCACTGTAAAGTTACTATTTCCTTCTTTATAATAAATATCTTGTAGGAAGATACATTGAGACCATTCAAATTTTTTGTTTCTAATCATACTTTTCAGCACTAATTTTAGCATTCATCAATGGTTCTTGATGGTGACAGTTGCTACTGTGGTATTTACCTAGTGGTAATTTTCTATTTCTTTCATTTCTTCTTTATATATATTAACTGAAATTCTATAAGGAAGATTTCCAATCCCCCCCCCTTATTTACTTATTTATTTATATCAGCATGGACTAATAGATGTTTATTTTATAATAAGACTTATAACCTAATTTTATCATTTTGTTGCTCAAGTTGTTCCACTTTTGCCCATTAGAAGATTCTATGTAATTTTAATGTTTCTATTTTTTTACCTTATTTTCTGGCACCACAGCATCTTCCAAGATCATCTTATATTTCCTCTACCCCAGTGCTGGAATCTACCATTCTACATGGAGCCCTAGTTTCTTTCGTGGGAAAAATAGTATTTAGAAACTAAGATTTGGGCACTAGGTATTTTCTTTTTATAACCTGTCAGAATGTCATATATAAAGGTTGATAATACCAAATGTTTCCAAGGGTATACAAAATAAACAGACACATTGGATGATAATATAAATAACTATAATCTTTTGGGAGGACAATTTGGCAATATCTGTTAAAAAATTTAATTGTGGCCCTGGCCGGTTTGGCTCAGCGGTTAGAGTGTCGGCCTGCAGTCCTGAGAGACCCGGGTTCGGTTCCCGCTATGGGCGCATACCTCGGTTGCAGTTTGTCCCCGGCCCTGGTCGGTCGTGCGGGTGGCAGCCACTCGATGTGTTCCTTTCACATCGATGTTTCTCTCTCTCTCTCTGTTCCTCTCTCTCCTTCCCATTCTACCTGAACAAAAAATGGAAAAATGTCCTCGAGTGGGGATAAAAAAAAAAAAAAAATTTAATTGTGAAATCTAGAAAATCTACTTCCAGAACTCCGTTATACAGAAATACTTACACCCAAAGAAATATCTACAGGGATATTAATTATAGCATTTTAATAGCAAACACCTAGAAATAAACCCACGTCTTTATGGACAAATACTATATCACTTCACTTATATGTGGAATCTAATGAACACACAAACAAAATGGAAACAGATGCATAGATACAGAAAACAGACTGACAACTCTCAGAGGGGAGGAAGGAGTGGGTCTTGGGTAGAAAAGGTGAAGGGATTAAGCAAAAACAAACAAAAAACACCCTCAGAAACACAGACAACAGTAGTGATTACAAGAGGGAAAGGAGGGGTGGGGGGAAGTAGAAGATGGTAAGGGAGGACGAATGGTGAGGGAAAGAGATGACTTTGGATGGTGAACACAATACAATATACAGATGATGTATTATAGAATTGTATACTTGAAACCTGTATAATTTTATTAACCAATGTCACTCCAATAAATTCCATTAAAAAAAAAAGAAGTGAGACAGATCTATAGATATTGGTGAGGACCTTTCTTCATATTTAAGAAAATAAAAGCTATCAGATGAGAACTTCCTTATCTTTTTATCACCAAATCTATCATCTATTTATATTTGTGTCTATACTCTACCTTCCTCCATTTACTGTACACATCATAAATGTTTAAGGGTATAGGCTCTAACGCCATACTTTTAGTGTTCAAATCCTGACTCTTCCATTTACTAGCTATGTGACCTTGAGTATATTATTTAAACTTGTTATGCCTTGATTGTGTGTGTGTGTGTGTGTGTGTGTGTGTGTGTGTGTGTGTGTGTGTTTCTTTTTCATTTTTAATGTGAATGAGGGCAATAATAGTATCTACCTCACAGGGTTATTGTAAGGATTAAACAAATACATGCAAAGTGTTTTGAATTACCTGGTACATAGTAAGAACTTCATAAATGTTAGATTATTATAATGAATGAAGTATCCTTTCTCCTATTAAAGGCCATCTCTTCATTTGTGCTTTGGATTCCAGTCACCTGATTTCTCAGACTTAACATATGTTACTGTACTCTCTGCATCACCAGTTTGTCATTTTCATCAGCATAAAAATGTGTTCTAATATGTCCTATTTATTAAAAAAAAAAAAAAACTTCTTGATCTCATATTCTCATCAAGCTACTGTTCTTCACAGCAAAATTTCTTAAAGTTTTTTATTATCATTGTCTCCACCTCTATATTTGCCTAAATCTGCTTCAATATGGCACTGCTCTTAACAGGGTCTTCAGTAACAGCCTCCCACCCCTATCTTGCCAAAGCAATAGTAATTTGTTCTTTTACATCTCAACTGCTCAGCTGCATTCAATGCAGTTCACAACTCCTTCTTTTCTTGAAACACTCTATTCTTTCTCTTGACTTCTGTACCACCATAATTTTGTTTTTCATCCTACTTCACTGATAAATTCTCAATTTTCTTTATGTCCTCTTCTCTGCTTCTTTAAATATAGTGTTTCAGGGATCCTTTTCTAGTCTATTTTTTTTTTCTGACTTGACTCTCCCTTCAAGCTCTCATCTAGTTTCATGACTTTACTATCTATAGGCTTATGACTTTGAAATACACTGTTTATTCCATCTCAGACCTTTCTATTGAGCTCCAGATATCCAACTGACTATCTAACAAGGCCCCCTGAATATCTAAATCCATCTCAAAGGAAACATGTTCAAAATAGAAGACTTGGAAAAGAAAAGTCTTTTCAATAAATTATATATATATATATATATATATATATATATATATATATATATATATATGACTTGAATATTTACCTGCCCAAACCCATCATTTTTCTAGTGTTTTCCTCATCAGTAAATGGCACTACCATCCAATTTCTAATTATGCTCTTCATTCCTATCTTCCTCTCACTTTCTACATATATCCGTAAGCAATCCTGGAGATTACCTTGCAGTAATATTCAAACATATACCAAGAATCACCAAATTTTCTCCAACTTTACTGCTAATTAAATCTACCCTAGAACAATCCAAAATTGGATCAACTATTACATAAGCCTCCTAAGTGGTGTCCTTTCTTCCACTCTTCTCTCTCTCTCTCTCTCTCTCTTTTTTTTTTTTTCCTTTATTGATTTTAAAGAGAGAGGAAGTGAGAGGGAAAGAGGGATAGAAACATCATTAAGAGAGAATATTGATTGGCTGCCTCCTGCATTCCCCCCAGTGGGGATCAGGCCCACAACCTTGGCATGTGTCCTGACTGGTAATCAAACCACCAACCTCTTGTCTCTTTTTTTTTTTTTAATTAATTTATTTTTGTTACAGATGTTTCTCCTTTTTCTCCCATTGACACCCTCCTCCTGACCCCCCCACACCCGCCCCGTCCCCAGCATTGTTGTCTATGTCCATGGTTACTCATACATGCTTATAAGTTCTGTGGTTTATTCTTCCCTCCCCTCACCCCATCTTCTGAGGTTTGTCAGTTTGTACCCTACTTCAATGTCTCTGGGTCTATTTTTTTATTAGTCCTCTCATGAGGATATTTTCTCAAATACCTTCAGATAGAGTGGGGAGGCAAGAGAGGGAGAGAGAGAGAAACATTGATGTGAAAGGGACACAATGACTGGTTGCCTCCCACAAGACCCAGACCAGGGCCGGGAACAAACTGCAGATGAGTTACATGCACCCGCGACTCTTTGGTCTGTAGGCTAACACTCTGACCACTGAGCCAAACCCACTAGAGCTCTGGGTCTATTTTGTTCATCAGCATTTGAAGTTCATTATATTCCACAATAAAGTAAGATCATGTGATATTTGTCTTTTTTCTGATTGGTTAATTTGGCTTAGCATAATACTCTCCAGGTCCCTCCATGTTGTCTCAAAGGATAAGGTCTTTCTTGCTGCATAGTATTTATTGTGTATATGTACCACAGCTTTTTTATCCACTCATGTATTAATGGACATTTGGGCTGTTTCCAGATCTTAGCAATTGTAAATAGTGCTGCTATGAACATAGGGGTACATATATTTTTTTCTGATTGGTGTTTCAGGCTTCTTATGGTATATTCCTAGAAGTGGGATCACTGGGTCAAATGGCAGTTCAATTTTTAATTTTTTGAGGAAACACCATATAGTTTTCCATAGTGGCTGCAACAGACTGAATTATCACCAGCAGTATACTAGAGTCCCCTTTTCTCCACACCCTTGCTAGCACTTGTGGTTTGATGATTTGTTGATGGCAACCATTCTGGCAGGTGTGAGGTAATACCTCATAGTGGTTTTAATTTACCTCTGTCTGATAATTACTGACAGAACATTTTTTCATGTGTCTCTTAGTGACTTGTATGTCTTTTTTGGAGAGGTGCCTCTTTAGATCCTCTGCCCACGTTTTAATTGGGTTCTTTGTCTTCCTTTTGTTGAGTTGTATGAGTACTCTATATATTTTGCGAATTAATCCCTTATCTGATGTATCGTTGGCAATTATGATCTCCCATATATTGATTTCCCCTTTCATTTATGACTTTTTTTTTTTTTTTTTTTTTTTTTTTTTTTATCCTCACCCGAGGACATTTTTCCATTTTTTGTTCAGGTAGAGTGGGAGGGAGAGAGAGGAACAGAGAGAGAGAGAGAAACATCGATGTGAAAGGAACACATCGAGTGGCTGCCCCCCGCACAACCGACCAGGGCCGGGGACAAACTGCAACCGAGGTTTGCACCCATAGCGGGAACCGAACACGGGTCTCTCAGGACTGCAGGCCGACGCTCTAACCGCTGAGCCAAACCGGCCAGGTCTCCCCTTTCATTTAAATGCTTGTTTGTTTTGTAGTGCAGAGGCTTTTTAGTTTGATGTAGTACCACGTATTAATTTTTTCCTTTGTTTCTCTTGCCTTTGGCGTTTTATTAGTGAAAATTCTGCTGGGTGTGATATCTGAAATTTTGTTGCCTATATTTTATTCTAGGATTTTTATGAATTCACAAATCACATTTATGTCTTTTATCCATACTGACTTTATTCTTGTGTATGGTGTAAGTTGGTGGTTAGTTTCATTTTTTTGCATGTAGCTGTCCAATTTTCCCAACACCATTTATTAAAGAGGCTGTCTTGACTCCACTGTATGCTCTTGCCACCTTTGTCTAATATTAATTGAGCATATTGTCTTGGGTCAATTTCTGGATTCTCTGTTCTGTTCCACTGGTTTATATGCCTGTTCTTGTGCCAGTACCAGGCTTTTTTGATTAGAGTGGCTTCATAGTGTAGCCTGATATCCAGTATTGTGATCGCTCCTACTTTGTTCTTCTTTTTGCAAAATAGCTGTGGTTATTCGGGGTCTTTTTGGTTCCATATAAATTTTTGGAGTATTTGTTCTAGTTCTGTGAACTATGTCATTGGAATTTTGCTGGGGATTGCAATGAATCTATAGATTGCTTTGGGTAGTATGGACATTTTAGTGATGTTAATTCTTACAATTCATGAACAAGGTATATGCTTTCACATTTTTATATCTTCCACCATTTCTC